CTGTGGCTGCTATATTTCCTATTCTCTTCTTGATCCTTTATTTTTTTACAACCAACACTGGTGATTGATGATGAAAATGTGACTAATTTAGATGAAGATAAGTACTTTGTTAAGCTTATGAGACAGTGGAATGACAGTTTCTACAAGTGATGGTAAGTTCAGACACATAATTACAATGACTGCGATAAAAAAATTAAAAAATAAAGAGAGTGAACAAGGTTAGTTAAAGGTTCAAACAAAACAGATTTCACTTCATCAGTGTGTCCACGTAGAAACAATAATGAAATTGTTGTTGTATCGTGTCAACCCTTGTGCCTCTTTTATCTTTATTTCTCTGATTAATAATTATTCTTTGCTCAAGATTTGTTTAATTTATTTCTAATACCGGTTTCCTTCCCTATATCAAGTCATTCTTTATCCTCCTCGGTCATTGAAAAGAACACTTTTTAAACAACAGTATTGGCCTGGTTAATGAATTGCTTACATTTAATATTTTTATGGCAATATCATAATTATATTATATCTGATGACATAATATTATTATACACCATTAGGCAAAAAGTCCTTGATTGTAGAAATCCTGATCCTAGAAATAATTATTATGGTATGAAAGCTTAGAAACTTTTTTCAGTAACTTTGACCTTTAACTCATAGGAAACAACAGAAGCATGGCCGCCTAGTGTTTGATAACACATCTCACAGAGGGCTGCAGAATTGCAATGCTTGATCAGTTTTCCAATGGTCTTCAGACCCTGGGTTTCTTACCTGCAGTTCGCAATAAGTTCGCTTTATTTGAGGAACTGTTTGTGTCACCATCATCAAAGATCACTCTACTCATGCTGTTAAAAGCTTGTTTACATTAAAACCTGGCGCAGGTGGTTCATCAATGTTGCAATAACTGTGTTTGCTTACATTCAGAGGATTGTAGAGGAGGGTGATGAAGAAGGCAAGTACAGTGCATTTACCAAGTTTCTTGATAATGTATTTGTTAAATGCCTGTATCTAGTTTGGACAAGACACCTCTGGGTGTTTAAGCAGGTTTCAGGGTGCAAGCATGAACCATGCACCAAAATCAACTTGAGCACCCCAAAAGCACCCTTTGTACTTTAGCCCCTCCACATTTTTAAGAAGGGTGTAAAACTATTGCTGCATGTTCAGTTGGTTGAAAGATGTTGCCAAGAAGAAAGGTCTGCTACTTTATTGTTTCTTGTGTTGAAATTGTGGAAGAATGGATTAGGCAGAATAATGGCAACACTTGTACATAGAATAACCATAACCTTTAGATGTGTTGTGGGGAAGCCGATTTGCTCTCCAATTTCTAAGGACAGGGAAATATTCGTGGACCAGCTAACATTACCTTAGAAATTTTTCCTTCTGCAGAACTGAAGAGGTTGCTAAGGTTCACTACTGGTGGGGAAATGTTAAATCCCTGTGGAATTAAAGCTGATGTAAGTCCTGACAGTAATAGCATCTATGTCTGTAATTTCTTGTGTGAACTGATTATTCCACAGTAAATGATAACCTGGGAGTACAATTCTTTCAAAGTTGCACTGTGGGCAGTTGTGGCTGGAAATGCTTTCAACTGTGTCTAGAACAAATTTCTTATTTCCACTTTTATTCCTGGTTTGTTTACTGTTAACAAACTCCAAGGAATTGTTTATCTAATTGAATTACAGATGCAGAGGATAATGAAGGGTTTATGTGCATAATTTTTTATGCCAAATTTCTATTGAGATAAAAAAAAACCTTTGCAAATGATTTGATCCATTCAATGAAAGTAGTTTGAAATTACTGGATAAGTTTATTCTAGTTTTGTTCCTGCTAAAAACAATGTCGTTGATATACCAATTTATTTATTACTGTATATACCTTTTATGGAGGGCAAGGTTATTATGGCTGTCCTAACCAACTTTTCAAAGGCATTTGACACAGTCTCATATGAGACGGTTCTCACAGAGCTCCACAATCTTGGATTCTCCAAGTCCTACTTAAGATGGATAACCGGCTACTTGACTGATATGAAACAGTTTGTTTCGATCAACCATAAAGCCTCTGAAACCATTGAAGCAGCACTCAGCATCCCACAGGTTGCATTTTGGTTGAGTTTTTGGTTAAGTTTACTGACTTGTAGTAATTTTACAGCATGCAGGTATTTCCAGTACAGTAGGATTACTGCAAGTAGTACATTTAATGAGTTAGAACTCATACTAAGCTTGTTGTCAATAATTACAAGATAGGTGCATGTGTAATCAATACCCTACACCCATTTATGCCTCTGTGAATCAAAATTCTGTAGGGCTCAGTTAATTTATGATCACTGTCTATGTGCCACAAGGCATTAGGGCAAGGCACAGAATGTGGTTGCTGTACAATTCTAAAACTGTGTCCTCTTACAGCTGACATCATAGGATTAACACGTGAAATAGAATCAAAGACATGTCTTCTTTGGATCTTGAAACCCTTAGCTCTAACCCTCCTTCTACTAAGTGCAACCCTGCAATTTAAATTAACATGTACCAAACTGAAAGACATAACATAAAGGGGTGGCTGTCAGTAATTGCATTCATTGGGATGTAACTTGATGTAAGAACTTCAAATGTTATCATCTGAAAAGTCTACCACAGGTCAAATTCCACTAGTCAAAGGTACAGAAATTTGAACAGTGTCAGCTGTTAAAAGGACCGTTCTAGGTTATAGTTCATTTAGGGTTGGGTGGAGAAAGGCATTGTAAGAAAAAAGAGTATTTTGAAAAAATAACTTTGATATGTAATAGCATTTTACTTTGCTTCACACTGAAAAAATATTTTCCTTCCAGGGATGTGTAGCTCGAAACCTGATTAACACCAATCCTTGGCTAACTTCATACAACAACGTTGTGCCCTGACAGTTAGATCTGAATTAGTGTTAATCATGCTTTAAACAACTTCAAAATTGAAAATTCCAAGCAAAACGAAGAAAAGTAACCATAAACTTTACTCCTATTCAATGACATGATTTATAATTAGCCAAACATAATTCAGAAGTTAAGCAAGTCAATTACCTGCTTCGGGATTTGACGTAAACTTTCGCGGACATGCTCATGTAAGTCACCATCTTCAATACTTGAATATGCGTCTGGACCGATTGGCATTTCAAACTAGTTACATCGTCGAATCAATGTCTTCGAAGAAACTCAAAAAATTTTTGCGATATCCACCCATTTGAAGGACTCTGCGCAGGCGTTTAACAAGATCCTCCTCCACACTGTACCGAGGTCGGCCTGTCTGCCCTGTGTATTCTACAGGACAGTCTTGTTCAAATAGGGGCTCATTACGCGCTTCAGTGGCATTTTGATAACTGTACCTGGATAAATAGAACGTAGGACCCCTGTAAGTTCGTCATTGTCTTTGTGAACCTGATCTGAGGAACCAATGGACACAAGTCGGCTTGAGATCAAACCAAGAGAGTTAGTTCGTAGCCAAGAAGGCGACAGAGGAGGGTATCTACTCTATTTGGATCAAACTGACCGTTCAGTCCTTCAATTGCTTCGTGTAGAGTTCCCAGAAAAAACTCGTAAATCTGCTAAAGGTTTAATATCACGTACACATGCGACATCTTGTTATTGATCTAAGTAACCAGGCAAACTTTGTAAAATGGTATCTGCGACTCAAATACAAAATATTTGAGGGATTTTGACAAGGGAATATAGTCATGTAGAAATGAATCATGATGTAGGTATGCGAACCATGATACGAATATGCGAATTTAGTGTGTTTGTTCGAAACGTGCTGAATATCTATTAAATTTGATGTATTCGTATGCAAATCTTGATAGGTATATTTAGATTTTGTTGCAAACTTATGCAAATCTTTAGGTATGTATGCTAATCGGGATCGCTGAAGGCATATCACAAGCACACATACGGCAAAATTCGTTCCCCGACGGTTCTTCTACCGGCTTGCCCTTCCTAATTCATTTTACAGATTTCCAGTTTACTGTAAGCCTCGAAATTTGAGATGGTTTAGTTTTCGTGATTCCTCCCGCGCGTTGCGACGTCAAGAAGTTTGACTGGTAATTAAGACAGGGAATGCCATTGATTACTACTAATTAATATTAAAGATCGCTCAACCGGGCAAGGTCGAACTTCTGGGCTTAGTCTGTAGTGCCTTCTTCTCATGGAGAAATGGCATCTTATTTACAACCAACTGCGCTCAAGGGCATTATTTAAAAGTCATCCCGATTATGATATCGAAAAGTAGAGTCATTAAAAGATGCCCTGGTCCGAGCTAAACTTCGAAGGCAGAAGATTTAAAATCGTTTACGAATGGCTGGAGTCACGCCGGCCCGTCAACACGTTCAAGAGAAATCAAACTTGATTTTCTCCCGCGTCTTATACTTCAGGGCGGTTGTTCATCGAATTCGGGATGATATGAAGAGCTAACCATCTTTCAGGGAAGCTGTATTCCTGTAGCCTCCAACAACACATCCTCTGGGCATAATTTCATAGCGCTTTCCTAGGTTTTAGAGCGTCCGCTTTCTAACTAAATGATATGAGTAATGTCGAATTAGGTTCCACGATGATGTCATGAGCCAACCCGACCCAATTCTGGGACCTTTGAAAATTCTTAAAAAAAAGAAGTGAAAGAGATGCGACATTAACTTTTTCGACTTAGTAATCAGTTAGAGCTCTTTTCGGCCCAGTAAGTTTCCAAACTATTTGATTGATGCGTTTTCTTTAAACAACAGCTTTTGAAATGCCTAGTAACATGCTTTATTAATGCACAAATGACCCGAAACAAACCTAACTACCAATGAAAATACGATTTTGTCACGTTAACACTCTTATAATAACACTCTTATAATCAGGACTGTCGTCTTCAATTCTGGGAATTAAAGGAACGGATTAGTTCTGTTGTCTAAAACAAGTCTTTCTGTTTTCAAGTTTTCTTGCTATGGCGCAAGACGTCGCCGCCGAAAATGTACA